CCCCCCAACCCTCCCCAGGGTTCCCACTGTAGTTTGACAGTCTGCTCAATGCTGCTCTGCCTCTGTATCCATTTTCGTTCATCAGTCTATAATCATCCTTATTATCCATAAATGAGTGAGATCATGTGGTATTTTTCTCAGCTTCCCAGGGGCCGTCTCAGTCTGACAGGGGCCATCTTAGCCTCACAGGGGCCGTCCCAGCCTCACTGGGGCTGTTTCAACCTCACAGGGGCCGTCCCGGCCGTCTCAGCCTCACCGAGGCCGTCTCAACCTCACCGCGGCCGTCTCAACCTCACCGCGGCTGTTTCAGCCTCACCAGGGCCAATTCAAGCTCACTGGGGCCGTCTCTACCTCACCAGTGCCGATTCAATCTCACCGGGGCCGTCAGACCCAGGTCTCCCTTTCACCTTGGCCACTTACTCTTGTCAATAGCTTTGTTTCCCATCCCAGGATCGGACAGAGGAGAGAGAAACCTGCAATGGGTGGGACACAGCTGAGTCCCTACCACGTCTGCTGCATTGACCTAATGGGCTAGAGCAGTGGTTCTCAACCTTCTGGCCCTTTAAATACAGTTCCTCATGTTGTGACCCAACCATAAAATTATTTTCGTTGCTACTTCATAACTGTAATGTTGCTACTGTTATGAATCGTCATGTAAATATCTGATATGCAGGATGGTCTTAGGAGACCCCTGTGAAAGGGTCGTTCGACCGCCAAAGGGGTCGCCACCCACAGGTTGAGAACCACTGCTCTAGGCCGAAGCACCTGGCAGGATTCCTGGGCACGTCAGCGGCGCAAGCGTGGCTACCCTGTGTCCGCCAGGCCATTTGCATATCTGAGATCAGTCATTTCTCGGTCAATTGCTCACCCTCCATTCCTCCAGTGGCATCGGCAGGGCCGCAGGCCAGACACGCGGTTTCCCCTCCATCCTTCTCACCATCCATGCGCACAGACACACACACGCACACACACGCACGCACACGCACCCCTGCCTCCCTCACAGCACATGCCCCACGCCATGGGAGTCCTGCACATAAGCAGGACAGCACTGGCAGGAGTGGGCCCCAGCCGGGCGAACCCCTGGGCATCATTCGCTCCCTGCTGGGCAGGAAGTAGCAAGAGCTCCGGGTGGGCCCGTGGGCTGCTCTGCCCCCGCCCACTTGGTACCCAGCCCAGGACTGTGCAGGATGCCCTTCAGCCCCCCACGGGGGCAAGTGGTTCCCCAAAGTGCCACGAAGAAGGGGCTGGCCCCTGCCACCCCTGGCCCAGGGCACCCTGTCAGGGGCACCAGATGGCAGGCCATGTGGAGAGGGCTCTGCCCGCTGGGTGGCCCAGGGGGGGTGGTGACCAGACCTCAGCCTATGCCTGAAAGAGGGGGGCCGGGCCAAACCTGAGCCTACCTTGGCGGGCCCGGGCCCGGAGGGTCGTGC